TCTCTCTCTCTCTCCCTCTCTCTCTCTCGCTTTCTCTCTTTCCCTCTCGCCTCCTCTCTCTCTCTGACTCTCTCTATCTCTCTCTCAGGTCCTTTTGTTTGTACCATAGCAGTAGAGAGGGACAGGAGTGTTGGGATTTATCAGCAGATTGGGGGATGGGATGTGGGAATTGATGACAATAGTAGTAACATGAAACTGACCTGTACAGCAGAGGTTAGAGGTTGAAAGTGTAAGTCTACGTGTCAGTAGCCTCCAGTGTTTATGAGAGCATGTACCAGTACAAAGTCATACTTTCATCACTATGGGTGTGAGGGCATTGGTCCTGAAAGACAACCGGCTAAGGGGACAGAACTGATGTTGAGCGGGCCTCGATGCAGTCATTGCTGCTGCTGCTGCTGTGGTGGGAGTTGAGCGATGCTGGGGAAGTGGTGGTTTTTGTGCGGTAGATGTTCTTGGCTAGTGACACTGGATGGGTTTTGAGACGAGATATTCTCCCCTTCTATACCCAGCTCTACATCGTCCGAACGTGCAACATGTTTCACTTGTGAGGACGGGTCGTGTGTCACTAATGATGTGTCTGTCCGAGGTGGGATTGAGCCATTTGTGGTGGTTCTACGTGGTGCTACATTGGGCCAGCTGGAGGCCAGGCCAACAGGCTCCTCCCTGATATTGAGGTTAAGGTCAGGATACAAGCCTCGTAGCTCCTGCTGTCTATGGGGAGCAATGTTCAGGTCAAGGGTCGGGAGGTTGGACGTCAGCTGTCCACTGGTGTCACTGACATCCTCCTCTATACTCTGTGCTGAGCTCACAGACCCACCCTGGAGCACCAATGTTTGCCTCCCTAGCGGAGTGAAGGACACAGGGTCAAGGACAGTCACCTCCATCCCCGGCCGCAGGTTGCTGATCTTGGGCCGAGCGATAAGTGCATCCATTGATAAACAGTGAGACTGTGGAATACTCGCCACCTGCCCACTGTCTGTGTAAGTGTTAAAGCCACGGAGGTAGAGAGCGCTGACAGGTAGACTTTGACGGCGGAGGAAAGCCGCATCTCCCGGTGAGCCAGGGCGCAGGCCCAGGTAGAAGGACAGGTCCCTCCGGATGTAAGGCACGCTGTAACGCCTGCCTCTGATAGAGGAGGTAGACTGACAGACTGCAGGCTCACTGTCCTCGCTGGCGGGACTCAAACCACGGACACTGTGCTCGCTGAGTTCCGAGTCTGTGGTGGGGTACCGATACAGTAAGTTCACGTCATTCTCAACCACGTCGTCTTCCTCACTCCCTCCTTCCTCTGCACTCCCTCCTTCCTCTACTCCCCTCTTCGCTCCTTCAAGGTCTAGTTCTGGTTGTGAAAGACATCTGCCATGCACCGTGTGGTGAGCAACATCCTCCCTTATCCCCTCTTCAAACACCTCATCCCCACTCTTCTCCAAACGCCTCTCCTTCTTCCTGTCTTCCACAACAGCCATCTCCTCCTCAAAATCTCCTTCCTGGTCAGTGTCCAGCTCTTGTCCATCTGTCTCTTTGTCCATTACTGTCTGCCAGCTGGCTTGGTTCTGCCTTAAGTGGACCAACAACTGAGCACTGAGCTTAGAACCCAGGAACAGGTCCCAAGCAGAGAACAATGGACTCACTACGAACTGCATGAACCCTGTAAAAAAGAAAAGAAAGAAAGGCTGTGAACTCACAATGAACTGCATGAATTTGGGGGGGGGGGGGGTGCAGAGCAACATACAGAGAACAATCTATATCCTCATCCTTATTCTACTCCTCCAGTTAATTTCTTTCTTCCTTCTTTCGCCCCCGCATAGCGGGTTTATCCCCCTTGGAGATAAAGAGTTCTAGGTCATTGTGGTTCTGTTTGTTGTGGTGGTGAGTTAGAGTCTCATAAAGCCGGTTGGAGGGCATTACTGGAAGGTTCTTCTTAAATCTTTTCTTTCTCTCTGTTGTTTCTGTTAGTCTGTCTTACTTTTTCCCTGTGCTAAACATCTATGATGTTTACGAGCTTTTCTTTACTCAAACAAAAAGTCCTTCATTAAGGCACTGACCATGCTGTATGTTGGCCACCGTGTTGCCATGGCGATCACACAATGGAGTCACGGGGAGGTTGAGTGCCCGCTCCGTGTCACCTGGGGAATACAACAGTGGGTGGGTTCAAATTACACAAAACAGAAAATGTTTCAGTCAACAAAGGGCAGTTGTGGATCTGAATCTCATTTTATGATTGCAAGGGCCTGTGTTCGAACTCCACAACATACAACTTGGATTTTATCAGAAGAGTTCAGAGTCTAGAAAACTGACCAGCACCATAGGATAGCTCATAAAATCACAGGGGAAGAGACCATTGAAAAGCCGTCAGACAAAAAAAGGCCCTGTGACCATTCTCTCTGATAACTTTCTGGAAAAAGACAGATGAGTCTTTTTCTTTCCTTTTGTTGACCATGAAGTAAATATAGAACTACATACATGCACATATTGAACACATTACTCACCATCTTTATCTCCTCATTAAAAAAAGCCCTGGCAGCTCACAGCACTAAAGACCACCCAGATTTGAGTGCAATGTGTCATGCTCATTATGAAACATGTGTGAGTGACAGAAAGAAAAGCTGTTATCAAGAAGGGTTCCAGTTCAAATTTAGATTTGCTAGAATAAAGGCAAAATCGTACAGACTGGTGAAACATGAAGGATCTATATATAAAGCATGTCATGTTCGGCTCGATCAGCAAGCCAATCCTTTCATGGATCCTGAAGATGGGGGAGGAGTAGCTATGGCATTGTATCACCTGCAATGATACCTGTTCTCTAACTAAGTAACCCAGCAGTAGTAAAGCATGTCTTGTTTGAAGTGTGTGGCTTGTACGATGCGCTGATTTGAGGACATACCACATCATATCCACTGCTAAGTGTGAGACTCCGCAATACACTAAATTAAAAAGTGATGTTTGACAGTCCTACACTGAACAGTCTATACATTGTGTTGCTTGTGGTGCATATGCTATATATTGTGTGTGTTGTATCATGTGTTGTGAAGAGTGTGAGCATGCCATGTGTTATGGTGTATGCAGTTATGAGTTACCTAGTGTACTGAGTGTATGGTGCTCATTTTCAGCGGAGCGCTATGCGTCTGTTAGTCCGTACCTGCACGAGCGTGTGCGCATGTGAGTAGTGCTAAGAGTCATATTTTGTATTACCTGTGTAAACTATTAATTGTGTGTGCTTGTGTTACTGTGTGCCTGTCAGCTGAATATTGTGCTGCTTATGCTTACCCTGTGTGAAGAACTCTCGACAAACACGCCTGCTCCAACGACGACTGGTCAGCCAGGTCCGACATGGGTTGGAGATGTCGGCACACTTGAGCGCCATCTGAAAGGGACATATAAGGATACAGAACATGACCAAAGTGGGAAGGTGGAGAGAGGAGGGCAGAATATAAATAGCAATTTGCACTGTAGCACATATGAAAGAGCGGGGGAAGGGGGTGAGGAAAGATAAGGAGAACAGATGTTTGACAAGAAAGAAGGACCAAAACCACACCACAGCACCCTCCAAATATCCATTTGTATACTCTACACATAAACAGATATATTTTTTAAAGTAAATATAGATAGATTTACATACACACAAAGACAGCCTAAGCACATTCATACACATGCAAAAAACAAACATACGTAAAGACAGGCAGAAATATGCCAGAGACATTCAAGGTACCATACCTGTAACATAAAGTGCCTGTGCTCCTCCACTCGCCGGTACTCAAACTCTCCGCTCTCAATGTAACGCTGTCGACACAAAAGGATACATATTATTTTTGTTTTAGGTTTATGTATGAGTTTTATGGCACTTGCATCACAATTAGGTTATATATAATATAGATGCTAAAGATTAGAGGTGCTACTAGAGAGTAAGATACAAGAAAGAGAAGGAAGAGAGATAAGGACAATAGATGTTGGACAGGAAAGAAGGAGCGAATCACATCAGAGCACTAGCTAACCACCACTCATACGTGTCAAACTACTCAGTTACAGACATAGAATTACATGAATGCACAAATATGTGGATAGACATACTCATAACCCCATAGTTTTTGTCTCCTGTATGTCCCCTCTATGTCTCTCCACATTATGTTTCCCTTATGTTTTCAATATCCCTGAATATCCCCCATGTGGCCCCTCATTGTTCCATGTATATCCCCTGTATGTCCCCTTTATGTCCCCTGTATGTCCTTTGTATGTCCCCTATATGTCCCCTGTATGTCCCCTGTATGTCCCCTGTATGTCCCCTGTACGTCCCCTATATGTCCTTTGTATCCCCCTATATGTCCCCTGTATGTCCCCTATATGTCCCCTATATGTCCCCTATATGTCCTTTGTATGTCCCCTGTACGTCCCCTGTACGTCCCCTATAAGTCCCCTGTATGTCCCCTGTATGTCCCCTATATGTCCCCTGTATGTCCCCTGTATGTCCCCTATATGTCCCCTATATGTCCCCTATATGTCCCCTGTATGTCCTTTGTATGTCCCCTATATGTCCCCTGTATGTCCTTTATATGTCCCCTGTATGTCCCCTGTATGTCCCCTATATGTCCCCTATATGTCCCATATATGTCTTTTGTATGTTCTCTGTATGTGCTCCATATGTCCTCTGTGTGTCCTCCAATGTATCCCTGGTATATCCCTGGTATGTCCCTTGTAGTCTGTTTAGCCCCTGTATGTCCTCTGTATATCCCCACATATCAGGAGGGTTGTTGGTTGAGGCTCTGGTGTGGTTTGCTCCTTCTCTCTTATCAAACATCTATCGTCAATATCTTTCCTCCTTTTTCTCCTTCTTTTTTATGTTTCTATCTTACTGTCTCGTAACACTTCTAATCTTCGGCACCTATATGACCTTATTGTGTTGCAAGTGCCGTAAAACTCTTACTATAACTAAAAGTTTATTCCCACATGTCCCCGGTATATCCCCACATGTCCTCTGTATATACCCACATGTCCCCTGTATGTCCCCTGTATATACCCACATGTCCCCTGTATATGTCCCCTGTATATACCCACATGTCCCCTGTATATATCCACATGTCCCCTGTATATACCCACATGCCCCTTGTATATACCCACATGTCTTCTGTATTTCCCCGCATGTCCCCTGCTTGTCCCCACATGCCCCCTGTATATCCCCTAATGTTCCCTGTATACCCCCACATGTCCCCTAATGTTCCCTGTATACCCCCACATGTCCCCTAATGTTCCCTGTATACCCCCACATGTCGCCTAATGTTCCCTGTATACCCCCACATGTCTCATGTATGCTCCCAGATGTCCCCCTGTATGTCCCCTGTATATACTCACATGCCCCTTGTATACACCAACATGTCCCCACATGTCCCCTGTATATACCCAAATGCCCCCACATGTCCCTTGTATATACCAACATGTCCCCACATGTCCCCTGTATATACCCACATGTCTCCTGTATATACCCACATGCCCCCTGTATATCCCCACATGTCCCTTGTATATACCCACATGTCCCCACATGTCCCTTGTATATACCCACATGTCCCCACATGTCCCCTGCATATACCCACACGTCCCCCCATGTATATGCAACATGTCCCCTGATATACCCACATGTCCTCTGTATGTCCCCACATCCCCAGTATATCTCCAACATGTCCCATGTATGCCCCCACATGTCTCCCATATGTCCCCACATGTCCTATGTCCCCTTGTGTCCTTACACTGAATTTAAGCAGGAACTCCTGTTGCCTGGTGATATCTGTGGCCAAGATTAAAACTCTCAGCAGACGAATAAACTCACACCTGGAACACACACATAGGAATAATATGAGTTTTAGTTTTAGCAAATGTTTTAAGGCACTTTTAAAACAAATAGACAACATAAAAGTACTGAAGATTTGAGGTATTACAAGGAAGTAACATACAAAGAAAAGAAAGAGGAGAGATAACGACAGATTACATTTGGTAGGAAAAAAGGAGCAAATCATATCAGAGCACCCGCCAACACTCTCTTAGAAGATGAACTCATATCTGCAATTTTTGAAGAGAAATTACACCCCCCCCCACACACACACTCACACACACACACACACACACACACACACACATGCATGCATGCCCACACACGTACAGATATACACACCCAATAACTCTTATCTGTAATAAACAAACAGAAATTAGACATATAAAAGCTTACACAAGAATACACAAACTCTCTCTCACTTTCTTTTATTTCTGTGTCTCCCTCTCTCTTTCTGTTCCTCTGTCTTTCTGTCCCTCTGTCTGTCCATCTGCCTGTTTCTTTGTATGTTTATCTGTCTGTCTACCTGTCTGTCTTTCTGTCTGTCTATCAATATGTCTACCTACCATGCCCCCCCCCTCTCTCCTCTCTCTC